ATTGAAAGAATTTCTGAGCTCAGACTCAAGTACAATGGATTTCATTCCTCTGATAAAGTCCCTCAACTTACAAAATCTTCTTTTGCAAGTATCATCTCAGCTGTAAGCATTGTTAGAGGATTGCTTTTCTAAACAAAACTTCCTTGTATGGGGAGTTTTTGGGCCAAAAAAGTTAAACGTACTCTTTTTTAACAAAAAAGTAACAGCGAATGTTTTAGAATTTCTTCGTTTCGAATTCTACAGAGAAACTTGACTAATATTCATGACGAGGTTTTTTTGAAAACTTTTCCTTAATTTTTTTGTAAAAATTGCTGTTTTCATGGGAAAACTGGAAATTTTTGCATTAGAAACTTTGTAGGTGAAATGATTTAGGTATTTTTTTTTGTAATTTCATTCTTTTTTTTCGGAAATTTTTTTTTTGAAGTTTCAATAGGTTTCAGCATACTGACAAAAAAGTTAGATCAAGTATTCTCGTGATTTGATATCTTTAGAAATGTATGGATGAAAAAATTTTCCGAAAAAAAGGTATCAGCACAATTGCTCTCGCAAAGACAATAGAAAATGAGTTGAAATCAAAATAGTTTTTTTTTGTTACGGAGTTTTTTCAATCACTGTTAAGGAGACTTTTGATGAAGACCTAGTTTTTGTTTCCAAGAAGTGGTTCCAAAACCTCTCTAGATGAAAGCAATACTAAGCTTGCATTTGAGACGGGTTGTAATCTCTATTTAAATATGCGTGACAGCTATTTTAATCTAAATTAATTTGATGTGAGAATTTCAACTTAAAATGATTCGGATGAAAGAATAACTTAGTTCAACTTAAAATGATTCGGATGGAAGAATAACTCCCTAAGAGCAAGTAACGGAAGTGATAATTTTCGGTTTTCTATTAAGTAAGTGTGTTTTTAGGGTAGTTTTTCACATTTTTGTCTCTGTACTATCAATTTTGTTTTTATTCAGACCTAAATCAAAAGCAAAAAAGAAAAAAAGCTGCATAATTGAAAACCCGCGAAATTTTTCTAACCTAGACTGTAAAATAGGGTTCAATTACACCCGACCAGTACGGAGACTTTAGGAATGGCACTTTATTGGTTCGGACCCTAAATGCATGCGCGTCACCTATCTTACGTTAGCCTAAATTGTACACAAAAGATCAATTTTTTTCTTTTCAGTTGTAAAACAGCTAAGAAAGGCAAAGATGGTTTGTTTTTTGTTCGTAAAATTATTGAAAGAATTTCTGAGCTCAGACTCAAGTACAATGGATTTCATTCCTCTGATAAAGTCCCTCAACTTACAAAATCTTCTTTTGCAAGTATCATCTCAGCTGTAAGCATTGTTAGAGGATTGCTTTTCTAAACAAAACTTCCTTGTATGGGGAGTTTTTGGGCCAAAAAAGTTAAACGTACTCTTTTTTAACAAAAAAGTAACAGCGAATGTTTTAGAATTTTTTCGTTTCAAATTCTACAGAGAAACTTGACTAATATTTATGAGGAGCTTTTTTTTGAAACTGGAAATTTTTGCATTAGAAACTTTATAGGTGAAATGATTTAGGTATTTTTTTTTTGTAATTTCATTCTTTTTTTCGAATTTTTTTTAGAAGTTTCAATAGGTTTCAGCATAGTTTTAGCTAGATAGAACATAAGTAGTTAACACTACATATAAAACATTTTATAACTCAAGTCATATCAACTGACAATAAAGTTAGATCAAGTACTCTCGTGATTTGATATCTTTAGAAATGTATGGATGAAAAAATTTCCCAAAAAAAGGTATCAACACAATTGCTCTCGCAAAGATAATTCGACAATAGAAAATGAGTTGAAATCAAAATAGTTTTTTTTGTTACGGGGTTTTTTCAATCACTGTTAAGGAGACTTTCGATGAAGACCTAGTTTTTGTTTCCAAGAAGTGGTTCCAACACCTCTCTAGATGAAAGCAATACTGAGCTTGCATTTGAGACGGGTTGTAATCTCTATTTAAATATGCGTGACAGTTATTTTAATCTAAATTAATTTGATGTGAGAATTTCAACTTAAAATGATTCGGATAGAAGAATAACTTTCCAAATTCCCTCAGAGCAAGTAACGGAAGTAATAATTTTCGGTTTTCTATTAAATTAGTGTGTTTTTATGGTAGTTTTTTTCATTTTTGTCTCTGTACTATCAATTTTGTTTTTATTCAGACCTAAATCAAAAGCCTAGACTGTAAAATAGGGTTCAATTACACCCGACCAGTACGGAGACTTTAGGAATGACTTTTTATTGGTTCGGACCCTAAATGCATGCGCGTCACCTATCTTTAGTTATCCTAAATTGTACACAGAAGATCACATTTTTTCTTTTCAGTTGTAAAACAGCTAAGAAAGGCAAAGATGGATTGTTTTTTGTTCGTAAAATTATTGAAAAAATTCCTGAGCTCAGACTCAAGTACACTGGATCTTAATCCTCTGATAAAGTCCGTCAACTTACAAAATCTTCTTTTGCAATTATCATCTCAGCTGTAAGCATTGTTAGAGGAGAACAAGTTATCATGATTGCTTTTCTAAACAAAACTTTCTCTTTTTTAATAAAATATTAACAACGATTATTTTAGCATTTCTTCTTTTTAAAATCTTCTTTCACTTGATGAGATTTATTTGAGAAGTTTTGTAAGTGAATTGATTAAACTGTCTTAAAAAATGGAATAATCGGGCGCAGAAAATTTCTGAAATTTACCATCTGAAACTTGGTATAACACATCTTAATACATTGGTTAACCCTCAATTACCCTCCCTCTTCTCTGATCGTCTCGCTTATATATACAATGTTATTGGTTTTTTTTTTCAATCCAGTTTTTTTCTTAACCAAAATTAGTATAGGTCTGCTCGAGACTCGTTGGTCGCACCAGATGAGTTTAGGTCTGGGGTGGCCTTCTCTTAAAGCGATTTTGGATAAAAAAACACCGCCTTATTTTCGGCCGAATAGTTTTGTGCAACTTTTTAGTCTAATACCAATCCAAATTTACCCTTATATTTCCACGTTTAATATATTTTTGCGAGGTTAGAGGAGAGAAAGAGGCAACTGATTTCCGAGTTGAATTATCTTTTTTCTGGCTGAAAGTCTGAATAGTTTCAGCTTTTTAAATTATCATAAATTTTAGTAGAGAATCATGATTGATTAGTTCTAAATGTTTTACAGTGATAAACATCAGAGTATATGATAAATACTTGTTTGAACTATCATATCTGCTGGTTTCATAAGGTTTCATATCTAATGTTATTCAGACTTATTTGAGCAGTCTTGTCATAATGATGTATTGCAATCTCTCCGCTGTCAGAAACACGCCTACACACTGCTACAAATTTAGTTCATTATGAACAGTAGTCAGCAGTTTTTTCGAAATAGGCATAAGTATAAAAAAAGGGAAAATAATGTTCAAAAACTTTTAATTTTTTTTGTGGAATTTTTTTCGCCAAAGAGCGGTAAATAAATCCTACGTAACTAGTTTTTGGAATAATTAATTCATCCTAAACACAAGAAGTAGTTCCAACACTTCTCTAGATGAAAGCAGTACTTAGCTTGTATTTGAGACGGGTTGTAATGTCGATTTGAATATGCGTGACACCTATCTTAGCTTAAAGCTTCAATTATTCAAGGAAAGATTGTTTGATGATTTCAACAAACAAAACTAGAAAATAAAGCAAAGTCGGAGGATGACCCGGATGAAGAACCAGGGCCTTACGTGATTTTACCTTTCGTGAAATAAGCGGTAAATAAATCCTACGAAAGTAGTTTTGCTGGAGTAAAAGCAAGCTTTTAACCGCTCGAAAAACTTTTTCTGGACTAAATTTTTTGATACAGTTATCTATTTCAGTAGTCGGAATAGAAGTAGGAAAAAATAATGTTTGATCGATGTGTTCCCTTTTCTCAAACTACCACGCACTGTGAATAAGAATAGATTAAAACAATGATGTTGTTTTAAAAGAGCAATGGCGTGAAAAAAAATGATACTGTTGTGTTCATTTGAGTTCAGGACCGGGGTAGCCTTGTCAGTCGATGTACATTTTGGGTTTGTTTCTAAACTCTACATATAAAACTCTACCCGATTCTCAATATTTACCCGATTCTCACTGAAAAATACTTGAAAAAATGTGAATTCATCTCAGTATAGCAAAAATTTTGAAGTTTTTCAGTTTTGAAGTTTTTCATTGTAACCATTGACGAAAAAAAATGAGGAAGGTTCAAATCGTGAACATCTTTTTTTTTTTAAATTTTCAATTTACCTTGACAAAAATCTGTTAAAAGACACTTAAAACGTGTAAAATGATGAAGTTTGGGCAGATGGCAAGTCTTATAGAATTGAATTTTTTGCTCAATCGTAAGCTATTCTCTGTCTTAATTCATTAAAATTCTAATACTAGTTTTAATAAATAGGGAAACCTATTCACTGTCTTAATACATGGAAAATTTTTTGGCATTACGAGGCCAAACTGTGCACTGGATAAGAGCACAATTTTGTGTCTGTATGTTCCTGGATTCCAGAGACAAGTCTTTAAACACGTTAAAATTTTGTCGGAACAATCAAAGAGAAGGAAAGAACAAAAGAAGAACAAAGGGAGCGTCCTTGTAGCGGAATCCACTTACAATGCACAAAATGCACAGTTTGGCCTCGTAATGGGCGGCAAAAATTTTCTGAAACTTGCCATCTGAAACATCTTATTACATATCTGGGAGATTCTATTCCCTATCTTTAAAAATGGGGTCTACCATTCTCAACCCCCTTCGCCCACTCTGGTAGCTTATTATTTGTTTCGTCATGTTATTGGTTTTTTCTCAATCAAGGTTTTTTCTTGCTTTTTAAAATATACTTTTTAAAAATTATTGATTTATCAAAATAGTGCAAAGTGTCAGCAGGAACAAAACCCTACAGGAAGGGGCGTCCGAACCAATAGCCCCCCACCGCCCCAATCCGCTGATGCTTTTTTTCTTTTTTTTAATGATCTGCAGAAATGAAATTTCTCACCTGCAATCTCAGCGCAATTTGTAGACAAGTAAGCAAAGCAAGCTGAAACAAGCGTATAACCAAACACGATAAAATGAACGTTGCAGCTTGGCATGGTTTGTTCACCTGATGATTGATACGAATGAATGATGTGTATAGCGGCGATTAGAATTGTAGTCCCGCAAATGGGAACATTGAAAACATCGAAGTCTTTTCCTGTTCTGGAACTACGTGTTTGGAATATACGGACTAAAAAGTACAGGCAACGAGCACTCGCAAAAACGCCGAGAACATCTTTTATAATTTCATGGAAAAGTACAGCCATATTTAAGCCAAAGCTGATGATTCGATGTAATCAAAAATAGAATCGTAGATGAATTAACAATTGATAATAATTTTATTTAAAAGATTATGAGAATTCTGCAAGTTAAGGATATTCTGTCAAGCTGATTTTTTTTGTTCTCAGTTTGAAAACGACAAATTAAACGACAAAAGCCGACTAAAAGCAGAAACAACGATGTGTATCAAAATATAAAAGCAGAAGTATGATGAATCGAGTGAATCGAATTTCTAAACTTCCTACTTTGAAACTACAAAGATATGACTATAAAATTTATCCATTCAAAAAGTACCATCCATAAAATAAGCAGGGAGACTTTAAGGAGCTTTTTGTTGGCTTTAATCACATTAACCAACGTCAATTTCAAAAGAAGTTGAAGAAATACAATCTTAATAAATTCATTTTTCTTCATACTTTTGAATTCAAAAAGAAAACAAGTTTCAGTTAGTTTCATTTGATTGGTTTGTTAATACCGTTAAGTACGCAGGTTTTGTTTCGGGTACAACAGCGGCGCTGAAAAAACAATTGAAAAAAGGAACGCTAGAATAAGGCTAGCTCCTCCTCTTTCTCTCAATTCTATCGCGCGTAAAATGTAAAACGCCAATCATCAAAATGAGCTCAATTTTTAGATTTTGAACAAGGGCTCCGTGAGCCACATTTTTAGGCATTTCTGTTATTTTCTCAAAACTCTCCCATGTATAACATTCAAACATTTTCTAAAAGTAACGGCATTTAGGTCAGAAAAGCGTTTGAGTTACCAGAGAAAACAGTATTTCCCAATTTTTTTTTCATTAAAGAATTAGTGACTAGCTTTTTTTCAATTTATGGAATCAAATGAGAAGGATACATTCAGAATTTTGTTTCTTAGTTTATTTATGTTTTATGACAAAACGACTAATTGTCTCATTAAGATTAGGGCAAACTGTTTTTGCTGTTTTTTCCCGAATTTTACCATGTTTTAAGGAAAAAAACAAAAGTCAGATACGCAGTTCTGTTGAATCAACAGTGTTCAACAGTGCCGCAGAAGTTCTGTTTATGAATTATTCGCAATTTTGCATGAATTAAGTTTTGTTTTGAGCAAAAACCGAGAAAAAATTTGTTAATTTGGTAACTTTATTCAAATTTGCCAAAGCCGCGCCAGGAAAATTTATGTTTGTTGCCTTTTCAACATGACCCATTTTTGCCTTTTCAACTTCCAAGCTGACAGATTCCATTATATAAACTGACGACAAGGTTTTCTAAAAAATTAGAATTAAAAGTCCTCGTCAAGGCTTACGACGTTTCAATAAATAGCAATACATAACAAACCATTGTTTATATGCTTTACTGAACTATGGATAGTGTAGAAAGATCTTCTCTTTTGAAGGATGTGATAACTTGGAAGTGTTAGTGTTTTTTAAAGAAGGTTGGAACCACATAGTGCTGAGTAAACCTGTTGATAATGACTTGCAAACGAGGACTATAATTACCACTGTATACGTTCCCCCTAACTCTATAAGCAGATAACATTATGGAACCAGATGTAAACTAGTAGTTATCATTGGTTATTATTGTGATATTTTATCTCTATAAATTATTGAATACTAACCAATCATACTCCATCAAACTAACAACCCACTTATTTGTAAGTGTTGAAACTACTTGTAGTTTCAACACCAGAACAATTTGAATTAAACTTAGAATACAGTTGTTCTCACTCTGGAACTAACTCGCTAAAAATCGGTGTACACTAGATCTATTGAGACTAGGAGATATCAGAGTAAGATTAAGATTGGTATAAGACTAAGAAGTTGCACGAATCTATCCGGCCGAAAAAAAGATAGCGTGACGATCAGACGGTGTACCTTATCTGAAATTACTCTATGAGTACAGACCAAAGGTCATAACTCACCATTCATCTACTAGAAAGCAACCAGCTAATAAGTTGTTCAGCTCTTTATTGAAAACTGCTATTGTCACCCGATTACGAAATTCAAGCGCCGTAAAGGCTTAGCCATAAGAGGCCGATTGTTGCCGAACGTGTATTTGGGCTAGTTCAGTCCTGCTTATAGATCAGTAAAAATTTCAGTGAAATTACTCTATACATAACTCATCTGGTACAACCAAAAGTCTCGAACAGACCTTAACTAACCTAGACTTAGACAAAAATTAGATTAGAATTAGACAAATACAACAATTCAAAAATGTTAAATGACAAAAACTTAGTAGATATGTCTCTACGCCTCAATAGATCAGATCCAATATTCCCAACAATACGAGAACTACCCGGTATCGGAAGAAGCACTCCGACGAGAGACGACATACGACTAGGAAGAAATCGACTAATCGTTTTCATGATCGTACGACAAAAACGAGATCAAACTTTTGTATTTAGAATACTACCAGCAGTAAATTTAGAATTTCATTTACTGACTTAATATTTTGAAGAGTCATCTTCAAAAACCTTTCATGGCGCTAAACCTAATAATTATACAATAACAACTGATAAAAACAACACTTGTCGTTTTCCTTAAATCAGCTGTAAAATGAATAACATCTTGAAAAAATATTTATTAAATATAAAATACAAAAATTAGTTAGTATAAATCATACATCATTAGTATATATAATTCATCCCTTTGTCCCAGCTTCATCGCCTAAAACATAAAAGCAATTCTCAAAAACTAACAATCATCAAAACTAAAACTTAACCATATTCTTTTATAAATAAACTATCAAGGCCTATCCTTGCTTTCACTTAAATTAATTCCATTTTAAATACAGACTATCAAGGTTTTCCTTGGATCTTTAAATTAAATTAATTTATATCTAAACTTCTAATATCTAAATTCTTGATCATCAAGGCCTATCCTTGGATCAAACAGAAGGATTTTGTTCTCCCACTCCCAATTTAATTAAGGTCTAACGACTTCAAACGTCGATTCACTACCCAACCTTTATTAAAGACCCAGAGTAAACAGAAAAGTTTCAAAAAACTGACCATTTTAATAAGGATAAACCGTGAAGATTTTCGGTTACTCATTCTTCACATGATCCCCCTCCTCTTAGATGACCCAGACTAAAACACTTAAACTTAGTAAGTCATGCACTAGTATCTAACAAACTACTTCTAATTATACCTGAAACTTGTTGATTGGCTTACTGTTCTCCAACCCTTGATTACAAATCACAACCCCTAAGTAAGGCTAGGTGAGTCTAACTTAACTTAAAATTATTCACGAGCTTCATCCTCTGTTGGACAAAAATAATCACGAATGGATTACCAAAAGTTTTTCTTATGTATCCTACAAACAATCAGTAGGATACATAAGAACAAAAAGAAAACACTAAAAAAGAAAATAATCAACAAACAGAAACAAACTATTAGAAAAAGATTTTCAAAACTAAGAAATGCAGCTTCAAAATCAGAAACAAGCGAAATACAAAAACTTCACAATTTAAACGATTCGATAAATAAAACCCATCAAATTGACGATCAATTATATTTCACTGACTCAGAAACCACATCACAAGCATCAATAAAAGGCGAACGAAGAATAAAAAATCATTACTTAAACAAACCAATACCTTTGTACAATTGGAATCAACCAATAAGACACATTAAAAACTATACGCTAACAGTCATACAACACAAAAAATGATTCGAAATCAAGATTACCTAGAAAATTCGGTACTTCCGATTTTATTACTTCCATTAACTGAACCTCGAGGACAGGTACAATTTTGTCAAAATTTAATTGCAAATTTATTCGAAAAAGGAGAAAGTCCGTGCACAAGAGAATTCCCCGATGTAAAAACCAAAAGACCATTTCTTGACCACTATCTAAAAGGTATATGTAGTCTCATATCACAATATGGAATCTACAAATCACCAAACGCATTTCATGACAGATATCTCATCAAAACTGATGACTTAGATATTGAATTTTCAAAAGCTTTTACACAACACATCAAAAGCATACAACACCAAAACTCACAAAGAGCAAACTCAATATTCACAAATGATGTATTCTCAATTATCTATAGCTATTTATTTATATTAGAATTGAAAGAACCTCAAAACGATTCACCAACTCAAACATCTAGACATTCAATTGTACGACAAGAAATGAACACATTTTCAAAATGCGTTCCGAGAAGATCTAACAAACAATGACATAACACAACGTGTTAAACACTATTTACAAAAAACCTTAGCATGGTTCATAATCGTTTATTTTAGTCATAATATTAATTTTATTGCACAAGCAAGAAAAGACTTTAGACCACAAAATACCGATGACGGTACCCACTTACAATTGATGCAACACATTTAAAACATAACTCAAACTTCTCAAAACTCACAGAAATCTTACACAAGAAGATATACAAACTCCGCCACATTTTGTAAACGAAGAAATAGTTGAAACAATAACAACGCAGAAGCACAACGAAGCATTTCAGCTATTCAATCCAATTTTACAACTCCAAAACAAAAAAACCAACGCTACAACAAACAATTATACAATCAACAGTGAAATCCTCTGTTGGACAAAAATAATCACGAATGGATTACCAAAAGTTTCGACCAGTAACAAAACCATCATGCAAACAAAAAGAATCACATAGAGATAATTTCGCAGAACATAATTATAACTATGTAAACAAGTCAACGAAACTTTCTAATATGAATACTCAGAACTACTTATGTTCACAAACTCAAAATATACAACAACCAACTTCAAATTCAGTAAATTTTCATGATGAGCTAGGATCTTCACAAGAACAAAAAGAAAATTACCCATTATTTC